ACTACTGCTGCAATACTCTTCTAGGGGTTAATCCCCAAACCCTAACAAATAGAATATAGAAAATGGAATAGAATATAGAAAATGGAATAGAAAATAGAAAATAGAATAGAATAGAGAATAGAATAGAACAGTATATAGAGAAAAGAATAGAATAGGAATAGAAAATAGAATATGGAATAGAACAGGGGTCCCCAACCACCGGTCCGCGGACCGGTACCGGTCCGCGGAACAACTCCTACTGGGCCGCTGGCTTGCTAGGCGCCGCCATCTTTTTTTGATGAAAAAGTGCTTCCGGTGAGCTTTTCCGGGTAGAAAGCTCACCGGAAGCACGTTTTCATCAAAAAAAGATGGCGGCGCCCAGCTGATGCCGGTACCGGGCCGCGGCGCCCAGCTGATGCCGGTATCGGGCCGCGGCGCCCAGCTGATGCCGGTACCGGGCCGCGGCGTAAAAAAGGTTGGGGATCACTGGAATAGAATATAGAATAGAATAGAATAGAATAGAATAGAATAGAATAGAATAGAATAGAATAGAATAGAATAGAATAGAATATAGAAAATGGAATAGAATATAGAGAATAGAATAGGAATAAGAAATAGAATGGAATGGAATGGAATAGAATAAAATAGGAGGTGGAAGGGACCTTGGAGGTCTTCTAGTCCAACCCCCAGCTCAAGCAGGAGAACCTATACCATTTCAGACAAGCAACTCTCCAGTCTCTTCTTAAAAACCTCCAGTTCTTCCGGTTTGAGCTTCTTCGGCGACAGACCGAAATCTGCAATTGTGCGCAGTTTCGATCTGTGCTTGCCGCTGGAGCGCCCCGAGCAGGCTGGTTTCGGGGCTAAGCCATCCTGTAGAGGTGGTGAAGAGGGGGGAGACCGCCAGCAGGGTCAAGGGGAGACGCATCTCTCCTCCTCAGCTGACCATTACTCCCTTTCCTGAAGGCGGTTGCAGCGGTGGTCAGAAATGGCCACCTCAAAGAAGAACTCGACTGGAAAAGAATGTGCAGGAGGAAGATAAGAAGAGAAAGTTTTGGGTGACCAGGTCAAACTGAAAAAGCAACAATATAAGGTACCCTGGAATTTGAATTATAAAGAACAACATTGTTCCCAAAGAAGACTTTGAAGCGGCAAATGAGAGAGGGAAGGGAAAGGATTTGGTTTCTTTTTTCTTTTCTTCCCTATATTGACAACTAAGAGATTTAAGCAAGAAACTGGCAAAAATCCACTTTGACATTAACAGGTATTTAAGCTGAAAAAAAAATGTCAAAGGGATAATAAAGATTTCTGGATTCTCAAAAACTTTTAAAAGAAGGAAAAAAAACAAAAGGGTGGGATCTGGAAAAATGGAGGAGACCACCTGGAAGTGAAAGGAATTAACAGTCAAACTTTAACAAGATTTCTAAAAGATACATTTTAACTGAAACTTTGTAACAGGATACGAGAACCCCAGGAAGAGAAAGTGGAAAAAAGAAGCAAGAAGAAACAGCTTTGGATTATTTGGATTACTTGGATTACTTGGTGATTTTTGGCTATCGGATCTAAAGGACTAAAATTAATTGGGTGGTTGTTCAAAAGTTTTTAAAATGGTATCACTCTTGGAAGACTTGAGAATGGAACTTAAAAAACAGAAAGAAGATGCACAAGAAGGAAGAGGTTTTTTTGGCTTCGTATTTCAATTTTTAGAAATGGAGATCCTGAACTAAGAGAAACAAGAAGAAATGCCTGTAGAAGAAGAAGGGTGTGACAAAGAAGAAGCCATCTTCAATGACCAAGTAATTCTATGTGGGGAAAAGAAAGGAAAGGGAGGAAAGAGAGTGAAAAATTTATGATCTGAAAAAACAACCAAAAAAGAGAGAATAGTTTGAAAAGTAATTACAATATTAGGAAGAAACAGAAGAGAGGATTACAGAAGAGAGAATTAGAATTAGAAGAAACAAGGGGTCAAAAAGGGGAGGGAGAAGAAGACGGGGAAGAGGGAAAGGAAAAGAAGTTATAAAGGACAGAAACAGGCTATAGAGAAAGAGGGAAAATGTACAAGGATTAAGGGTATAAGCCTATTTAGAAGACACAGAGATAATGGGTGAAAATTTAATTGATAGGGGGATTCTGCAAGGGTACATAGGATAGTATTGTTATATTAGAAATAGAAATGAAATTTGAAAATATGAAACAAGTGTGATTAAAATAATAGATAAAATACTCATTATAATGTAATGGAATGTTTAATAAATAAATGAAATAAAGAGAATGAGAGAATGAAATTAGGAAAGAAGGGGAACATTTTAATTATTATAAATGTGTTATAAAAATTTAAGTGAAGAGGAATATGAAAGAAACATGAAAAAATTATGGAAATATTATAAGTGTTCCTAGAAGTATGATACCCTATTGAAAAGAAATGTTAAAGATGTCAAAGATTATAACTCACAATGATAGAGCTGAATTGGAACAGAATAAGTATTTTATTTATTATTGTTATATATATATATTCTCTTTAAGAACTTAGTGCGTATTTTAAGAATGTACCAAGAAGAATTCGACTGGAAGTTATGTGTTATATTGAATGTTATAATTGTAAAGGCATAAATTGAAGGTTAAATAAGAGTTGAATGGATAAAAATTAAAAGATACAAAGGTGTCATACTCCAATCAGTAACTACAGGGGAAAATTTTGTTTAATGAGAAAAGAAAATATGAAATTGAAACAGGACAGACAAAAGTATAAATATAATGACTAGAAAGATATTGAAACTTAGAAAAATATATACATAACTGAATTTTGGAAGGAATGAAATAATTAAAAGTAAGATTGAGAAAACTAAGGGAAAGGAAAAATTATTGAGAAAATGTTAAAATAGTAATAAGATATGGAATAGAACACAAAGATGAATATGAAATTGAATTTGTGTCTGTATGTGATAACCCAGGACCATGCTATTCTCAAAAAAAGAAATTTTACTTGTATTATGTTTTGTGAAAACCCAAATAAAATTTTTATTTAAAAAAAAAAATCTCCAGGTTGTCCCAAAGGTGCTAGATCCATAGACTTTTAACTACACACTTTTGGGGACGAATACCCTTCAACTGGTGCTGGAATATGAACAGATTTCCAGAAAAATTGCAGACTACAGGAACCATTTGCGGTTCAGATAGAGATGCAACCAACACAGTTTCATCCCTAACAGCCTGCATCTGTCTTCAACAGGGAAGGGAAACATCCTGCAACCAAGAAGGCTCCACACCCATTTGGACTACTCAAGTGACCCTCAAGATAAAGATAAAACTCCAAGTGGCCTCAAAGGCTCCCTAAAAAAGGATGCAAATGACCAGCTGTCTGCAAGGAATATAAATCCTTCCATTCCCCAACATCCAGTCAGAACTGAAGAAGCTCCTTGGATGAGAAGGGAAATCTCTTCCAAAGAAAAACAAGAAAGTCCAGTTGCCTCTTGAAAAAAGCACCTTTGGGACAACCATCATAAATACGTGCTGGTTGCCAGCGCCCAAATTTTGATCCCATGACCATGGGGATGCTGCAATGACTGTAAATGTGACGACCAGTTGTCAATGACTTTTTTTTTTTGCAGGGTTGTTCTAACTTCGAACAGTTGCTAAATGGATGGTTGCAAGTCAAGGACAACCTGTGTGAGGAAGCGTGCTGTGGACAACCTCTTTTATCAATGGGGTTGCAGCCACCAAACTGCAGCCTAATGCACCACAAAGAACCGAACTACTCCATCTTTCCACTTGCCCACCTCTGCGGATGTAAGAGATGCTCTGAATCGAACTTACAGCTGGTCTGATTGGGAAAAAGGTCTGATGCATCGTGAGAAGTGACCGAAGGTGTCAGGTCATCGGCCGAGGACTGCGTCTCCTCCTCTTCTTCTCCGGAAAGTAGATCCTTTGCTATCTGCTCCTTCATTCAAACAATCAGAAAAAGATATAGATATATATATATTTAAAGAAAAAGACAAGTCAAAGAGTCAAAGATTGGGTTGACGAGACTTAGTCAACGGCTATCTGATTATTCCAACGCGACCAAAATTTGTGCCTTGACTACACTTAGGTTTATTTCCGCTCTTCCCTGATGGAAAAGAAGGATAAAAACACGTGACAAAAAATGTTATTTCTTTTTACGAGATGAAGCATTTTTCACTTAAGACTGGGAACAACTGGAAATTATTATTATCAGTTTTTTTGGCAGCCAGATGCCAAAAACATTTTTACTTGCTTTTTTCATTCAGGGGCTGAGAGACAGGCAGCCATGAAATCATGTCCCCCCAAAAGATTGGCAGAATTTCCAGTGTTTTTTTTCCCCCCTCCGTGTTTGGAAAGTTTGGGAGGAGTGGCATAAATTATTGGGCTTACCTGGGAACCCCTCTCCTCTTATTCCATTTGATCTGGAGCTGCCTCTCTTTCACATGATCAGATTTGAGACTGTGAACAATTCTCTCAACTCCATTTCTTAAATTCAAGCTATTGAAAATTGAAGTTTAAAGCGTGGTGGGTTTTTTTCAGGGGAACAAGCAGGCTGTTGGGTTGTTCCCTGGTCAATTGGAAGTGGGCTTTATTGTGTCAGAACAGTGTTTCTCAACCTCGGCCACTTGAAGAGGTGTGGCCTTCAACTCCCAGAATTCCCCAGCCAGCAAGCCACACTTTGAAGAGGTGTGGCCTTCAAGTCCCAGAATTCTAGCTAGGGAATTCTGGGAGTTGAAGTTCACACCTCTTCAAGTGTCCAAGGTTGAGAAACACTGGCGTAGAAAGAAATGTATCTAAAACTCTGACCACAGACAGATGTGGATAAGTAAAGGAACTATCATAAACATCCGATTACAAGACTAACTATTATATTCCTAGTCAAGAACAAAGAGCAACATTAATCCAACCATCAGGATCCAGTGTGATCAAACAAGTTTTCAGGTGAATCTTTTCCACATTGAAAATGAAAAACTGTATATTGTGGGTGCTCTCCTTGGTGATCTCTGTGTTTTCTTACAGACATTTCACGACCCAACTAGATAACTTCAGTGCTAGAAAGGAGTGGGGTTTGTTCTGTTTATACACAAGTGTGCTGCACTATCAGCATTGGTAGAAGTGTTCTTGATAGTTCCTAGATTAGTCTGTTGTGTAGTGTTTGATTGCTTGTCTGACTTGGTAGTGGCAAGCCTCTGTATATAAACAGAGTGCAAATCCCAAACTACCTTCTAGCACTGATGATGTTACCCAGTTGGGTAAGGAAACGCCTGCAAGAAAACAACCAAGCTCAGAAGGCACTAAGCAACCCACAGTGTCAGGATTCCAGCAGTTACCCCCCAATTAAATCATGAGTCACGAGCCAAACTTCCAAAACTTCAAAGGATTTATTGGGAGTTAACATGCCGGCACTGCTTGAGTATAGCCGACTCTGAGACACATAATTCATTGTCACCCCTGACCCTAGTTTTCCCCCCACCCCTTGGGTGTATCGTAAGTAATATCCTCCAATGGGACACATCCATAGCCAACAGTCATCAATCATGTTCTCCAGTTAAATTTTTGCGAGGCAGAAACTTCAGTCACCTAGTTACTATCTCTGAAAAAGTTATGTATGGAATGCACTTTTGATTTCCAAGCTGCCGCACTGCTCTTTCAAACCCCCTTTCCCCCCTCCCTTTCTGTTGGCAACTCTAAAATGACCATAGAAACATTTTATGAGTTGACACACAGTTCAACCCTGAGCTACAAACAGTCCCTTAGAAAAGTGGACTATGTATCTGATTACCATTCTGCGGCTCTAGTTTCCTGCACCTGGAAACATGTGTCAGAAAGTTTGGCTTGGAGCAATTTATCTCTCTGAATTTCCTGTGTATAAGGAAATACTACTGTGTATACTATCATTTGGTGATGGGGGGATTTGAGCAAATACAGGTAGTCCTCGACTTACAACAATTCGCTTAGTGACAATTCGAAGTTACAAGGGCACTGAAAAAAGTGATTCATGTGACCATTTTTCACACTTAACGATTGTTGCAGCATCCCCATGGTCACACAATTTACATATGGATGCCTGACAACTGATTCAGATTTATGACAGTTGCGGCATCCTGAGGTCATGTAGACCTTCTGACAAGCGCTGTTCATGGGGAAGCCAGATTCACTTACTACTAATTTAACTTGCTACTAATTTAACAACTGCCGTGATTCCCTTAACAAATGTGGCAAGATAAGTTGTAAATTGGGGCAAGACTCACTTAACAAATTTCTCACTTAAGAACATAAAACTTTGGGCTCAATTGCGGTCATAAGTTGAGGACGACCTGTAACTCTACAGACCTAACAAGGTTCATAAAATCAGGCAGAACTAGTCCACATGGGGCCTCCTTAATTAAACCATGCCATCAGAAAGGGAGCTTTCTACCCGGAAAAGCTCACCGGAAGCACTTTTTCATCAAAACAAGATGGCGGCGCCCAGCAAACCAGCGGCCCGGTAGGACTTGTTCCACGGACCGGTACCGTTTTGAAAAATCACTTTTGAAACAACTGTTTTGAAAAATCACTTTTGAAACAACTATGACCTGAATGACTGACAAACTCCAGAGACATGTGTGGACTTCAACTCCCAAGATTCCCCAGCCAGCATGGTTGGCTGTGGAATTCTGGGTATAGATGTACATGCATCTTAAAGTTGCCGAGGTTGCAAAATACTGATCTAAATACTTATATACTTATATTTTGTTTGTTTGGCCAAGTGTGGTTAGACATGCAAGGAATTTGTCTCCGGTACAGAAGCACTTGGTGTTCTTGCAAAACAACAGAATATAACAGTGATACTGAAATGTACAGCCAATAAAAGAGAGAGGTTAAAAAATAATAGAAGGGATAAATAATAATACTGCAGTCATCTCCTAAGGATAAATATATGTACACATTAGACAAAAAAAACCTTAGTAGTCACTGTATTTTATCAGCTGCGAAAGAATTAGTACGTAATAATAAATCTAAATCTAGTACATAACCTTAAATGATAATAACTGACTACAAACAATGGCAGTGCAAAGTAGCAACGATGGCGCATTGGAAGATCTGCAAGAAATACTATTTGCCTGCAAGCAAGAAGTGGTGGGATCATAAAATAGACAAATATAAAACGAAGAAGCTAAAGTACTCTGGGACTTTAGAATTCAGACTGACAGACACCTGCCATAACAACACCCCAAACTTACCAACTGTCAAAAAGACAAAAAAGTTTGGATAGTCAACGTGGCAGTACTCGGAGACAGCGGAAAAGGAGAGAACAACCGGAGAAGATCACAAAATACAAAGAACGGCAAATGGAAGCAGGGCGACTGTGGCCAAAGAAAGCAAAGGTATAACCAACAGCAATAGGTGCCTTGGGTGCAATCCCAAAAAATCTGGAGCATTCTTTGAACACCATCAGCACTGACAAATTCCCCACCAGTCAATTTCAAAAGGCAGCTTGATTCAGAACAGCTGACATCCTGCAAGACCTTTAAGACCATCAAACATTCACATGTGCCTGTCTCAGGTCTTTAGGAAGGTCTCAAGAGGTGGAGAAAAACGCCAAATCCAATCTGAACATCTGGCTGACTGTGCAACGAACCATACTAATCGGTGGTGGGATCCCTACCGGCATAACAACCGGATCTGTGAGCGGTGTGTGCGCGCAGTACTTGTACAAAACAACTTCTCCTGCAAGCAATCACCGTTTTTTTGCTGACGCGTGGCACTCAGCTGTGCCGCGCAAAGCAACTCAGTTAAGAATAAAGGACAGCCAAGAGCCCGGGCAGGTGGGTGGGCTCAACCAAAGAAAAGAAGATCTTTGCAGAGAACTGGTTCAGTGTCAGCTGCTCTTTGGAGCTACCGGTTCTATAGAACCGGGCTGAACCGGTAGAATCCCACCCCCTGGTACTAATACTAATACTTACTGACTACTGGAGAGACCAAACTGGCCTACAAGAAACACCAAATGAAGGACAGAATGGAGGCATGGAAAGATAAAAGTACTACATGGCCAGTACATTAAAAAAAAAAAAATAGCAAGGAAAGCAGATAATAACAAGACCTGGCCATGGCTAAGAGCAGGAAAGTTGAAGAAAGAGACTGAGGGACTAATTCTGGACGCAGAAGACCAAACCTTAAGGACAAATGCATACAAAGCCAGAATTGAGAAGACAGGAACAGACAGGAAGTGCCACCTGGGCAAAGAAAGCTATGGAAACAGTGGACCACCTGGTAAGCCGCTGCAAGAAGACTGCAAAGACTGACTACAAACAGTGGCATGACAAAGTAGCAACAACGGTGCATTAGATTAGAAGATCTGCAAGAAATACTGTTTGCCTGCGAGCAAGAATTGGCGGGACAATAAAATAGAGAAAGTCACAGAAAATGAAGAAGTTAAATTGTTCTGGGACTTTAGAATTCAAATATAATGTAATATCCCAGACTTAACACCTGTCGGTAAGAAAGGCAAAAAAGCTTGGATAGTAGCAGTACCTGGGGACAGCAGAGTAGAAGAGAAAAAACTGGAGAAGATAACAAAATACAAAGACCTACAAATAGAAATAGAACAATTGTGGCAAAGGCAAGCAAGGGTAATACCAATAGTAACAGGCACCTTAGGTACAATTCCAAAACAACTGGAGTGCCCCTTGAACACCACAGGTATTGACAAATTTGCCTTTAGTCAATTGCAGAAAGCAGCTTTACTTGGGACAGCTTCCATCCTACGGCGATATCTGTAACACCGTCAAACATCCAGATCTGGCTATCCCAGGCCCTTAGTAAAGGACTCGATAGGTAGACAAAAATGCCAAACCCAGTCTGAACAGACTATGCAATGATTAACAACAACAATAGTAACAACAATAATAACTGAAGTTCAGAGATTGTGGAGGAAGAAATCCATGGTTGTACAATAGTAATAGGAGCAAAGGGCTGCCTAGATACATGGAAATTTTGACTATCCTGATTTTGCAAAAAAACACCCAAAAACCCACTTTACTTGGAACTGCCTATATAGTCAGACATTACCTTAATAGCTCTTCAGTTCTTGATTAGGACTTGAACTGTTAGATTTTTACCAGTCCCAGATTGTGAATTGAACTGAAGATTAAATCTTAAATAATAATAAAGTACAGGTTTTTTTTTGCGCGAGTCTGCAAGTTATTCAAAAGTAGCTATTAAGGAACATATAAGCCTCGCCCACAAAAAATACAGGCACCTCTTCACTGTTGGAAGATCGGCTTCTGAGTGCAGCAAATCCCAGTTTTTTTCTTGGCATCTCTGGGGAAGCAAGTATCAGCTAGCAGTCCGGGAGAAAGGTCTCTTTATGAAATCACTGAAAAAATTCTGCTTGTCCTTCGCTTTTAAAAGAGCGATAGACTCAAGAACGTCAAAGACAGAAAGATGACCCTGGAAGTTCAAAATATTCAGGGAGGTGTGGGTGGGTTGTACCAACATGCTAGCCTAAGCTAAAATGGCTTTAAAGTAATTGGCAGCTGGGTGTATTGTGGGAAGCAGCTATGATGTTAAGCCAAACTATGGTTTACTACTTTGGGCACTGCAGGCCATGTGAACACAGCAATTGTGTTGAGGTAAATTTAGGATGACTATTAAGGAAAAAAAGGGTCAGTTTGGTGTAATGATTAAGACACCAGCTTAGAAGTAGGAGATTGTGAGTTCTAGTCC